TGAGGGACACTACCGCCGGCTGTTCGTCATCGAGAGGCTTCGGTAGCGGCGGGGTGAACGGTGCGACGGGGATGGAGTTCTCTTGGCGGCTGTATCTGATCGCCTCCGGAGTCGCCCTTCTGTGGAACCTGGGAGCGAGTTTCGTGGTATAAAATTCATATCTTTAAATTCCAGAGAAAAGGGGACTAATCTTTAGGTTTGGAAACTTTGAAAACTAGAAAGATGCCTCCCATGTTGCAGCAGGAATTCGAGAGCATACCTAGAAAAATTCATATTGAATAACCCAAAATACTTTTACTTTATAACAATATATAATATGGAACATATATGGAACTTTGTACAGAAGAAATATTTATCGTGTAAGCAATGGCGTTATTATTCAAAGTGCAATATCTTCTGATTAAATAATTAGTATTCTAATTTCATTCATTTTACTACAGGTGCATAAATTATTGAGAGAAGTACTAGTTCAAAGAGAAACTAATTGTTTCGATTGTTCATTGTGTGTGATGAGGAATTTCAGCAAATTGAGTAAACAATACACTTTTCTACATCAGCCGAGATATGTCAAAAATCATGACTTATGTGAAAGAAAATACTTCAATAACATGGGGAAATGACATAAGGGGATTGTCAATGTAAATCTTGGAACTAACTCCAATCCAGATGGTCAAATTAGATTCTGGCGTACACAAAACATAGTGTGAACGAACTTAACCACCTGGCAAGGGCATCAATACGGACATCCAGACGGGAAGTTCAGCTAGTGTTGGGAGATCGACTTGCTTGGTGGAGTGGGTCACCGTTTGTTGTGTTGGTGTCATGTTGTGGTCTCCGATGTGTCGTCGGTAAGAGTGGGTAGGGCATGCTTATTCTGGATGCAACCGTCGTGCTATCAAACAACGAAGATGCTAGAACGACGTGTGACCAGTGGCGGAGCCAGGAATTTGCTGTTGGGTATTCTTTTAATTTTTTTTATGCCAAAGCAATACAATAGACCAATAAATGTACAGCAAGATGATAACATTAATGACTAAATGACCATATATCGATAATAGTAGCAAAATATCATTGTCGCAATATCTCTAACAATTAAGAAAAATTACAAATAGCAAAGGAAATTACAATATAACTTTACGATCCCCTTTCTGGAAGAGATTAATGACATCCTCATCTTTCACTTGCCTGAAGAATTCTCTCTCAATGAATGTAACCAAGCAATTGTTCAAATATTCATCACCCATTTTGTTTCTTAGTGAATTCTTCACGTATTTCATCGAGGAAAATACCCTCTCAACGCTAGCAGTGGCAACCGGAAGAATGAGAACCAACTTAAGAAGTTTGTAAACAATATAATATTGTTCATTCTTTCTTGTCTCAACCATCAAAACTGAAAGGTCACATAGATTCTTCAACTTGCTAAACCTTTTATCCTTATGCACATGAGAAATGAACATGCTTAATTGCCATGGAAGTCTTGACAATTCATCATTTGTGAAATCCTTGGCATAAAACTTTCTAGCAAGCCTAACCAACTTCTCTTTATCATAAGCAGCAAATGAATCACGTGGACTGAATGCTGCCATGCAAGTAAGTAGTTCAGTGTTTACCTCATCAAATCTTGCATTCAGCTCTTGAAGTTGCCTATCAATGACACCCACAAACATTTCAACCTTGAAGCGTTGGTAATTCTTTGCGCCATTGAAGAACCCTCTTCTTGGTCTCCCAGCAGGATAGTAAGGAGCCTCCATGTCAACAACTTTGATCTTGTGCTTTACACAAAAAGAAGTGACATTCTGAAGAAAATCATTCCACCCTTCATCTTCTCGCAAGCATTGCAAGTGTAGCTTTGTGAGATCAACAATCTCCATAGCATTAACAATATCTTGATCTTTCTTTTGCAAAGCTCTACTCAAGTCATCGGTGTATTCAAATATTTCTTGCATCAAGTGTGCCATGAAAACAAATTCAAATGTCCGAAATGATGTCAACATAGTCATTGCTGCTACTGCCTCTGTGCCATTATACTCTTTTGCAATCATTATGAGAACACGCCTTATTGCCGGATACATAGAGATAACATGGTTGACAGTCTTGTAGTGAGAGCCCCAACGAGTATCACATGGCCTTCCAATACCCATTTCTTGATTCAAACCCGTCCCGGTTTCTACTTCTTCCAACTCTAATGCAGCAATAAGTTCCTTAGCTTGAGCTATTCGAAGCATTCTCATCTTTTTACAAGAATAGCCTAGAACATTTAGCAAACATGCCAGCTGTTGAAAGAACCAATTACAATCACCACTCTCCTTTGCAACAGCAACAAGAGTTAATTGTAGTTGATGGGCAAAGCAATGGACATAATAGGCATAAGGAGACTCATCCATAATTAGTTTCTTCAGGCCATTAGCATTACCTTTCATATTGCTAGCCCCATCATATCCTTGCCCACGGACCATTGCAAAGCTCAGATTGTATGTCATAAGCATGTCCTCAATTGCATTTTTAAGTGTCAAAGAGGAAGTGTCTTCAACATGGGCAAGACCAAGAAATCTCACAACTGTCCTTCCTTTCTTATCCACATAACGCAAGCAAACAGCTAGTTGTTCATTTTGGTACATATCACTACACTCATCTGCAAGTACTGCAAAATGTCCACCATCAAGATCTTCAATGACTAGTTTAGTAGTCAGCTGGGCACAACATTTGATCAACTCTTGTTGTATATCATGGCAAGTCATCTTACAATTTTGTGGAGCATTCTTTAGAACCACCCTATCAACCTCTTCAAAGTTTCCTGCTAGCCAATTTAAAAGCTCAAGGAAATTTCCTTTATTTAGTGAGTCATCACTTTCATCATGTCCTCTAAATGCCAAACCTTGGTGCAATAGGAATCTTAAACACTTGAGTGTCCATGTCACACGGAGCTTATATAGAACCTTGTATTGTGTGGTGTTTGAAGCAATGGACTCCCTAATTGATGTTGTAGGTGTAGTGAACATATCATACTTTTCTTGAGCTTCAGCGTGAGCACTACTAACAGCACCAATATGCCTCTTCAATCGAGCTTTCAAGTTCCAATTATTAAACCCACCGTTCACAAATGCATCTCCTCCGGGACTTTTTGTTTTATCCTTGAACAAGTAGCAAACAAAGCAGAAAGCAGCCTCTTCTTGCACACTATACTCAAGCCACTTGTGATCCTTAAACCAAGTAGGGAAAAAGCGACGGGGATGTCCACTAAAATCTCTGATCTCAAACTTATGATCCTTTGGTTGACAAGCACCCAAGTCAATGTATCTCCTTCTAACTCTATCTTGGTCATTGGCATGATACGAAGATATGGGAAGTCGCTTGCCGGGGTCACGTTCCAGAGCTGCCAAATCTGCTTCAAATTGGGGCATTGATTCATCATCTTCATCGACCGCTTCATCATCTTCTACAATTGGGGTTGTCTCCCTCTCCGGTTGCGGAGCTTCGTCATGTCTTTGCACTAGTGCTAGCTGTAGATTGCTCTCAACCTCAACAGAAAGAGAAGTTGGTGTGGATGTAGAAGTTATTTTCCTTGTCTTTGAAGATTTGTCCCACATTTCAAATATGCTAACATTCTTCTTCTTCATCTGCATGACAATCACATAAGCAGAATAAAAATCAGTGGCAGTGACAATCAAATATGTAGCAAATGAATCAAGTAGCAATCATGTATGATCATATGCAGCAAATGGATCAGAATTCAATTTAAATTTACAAGCACTTACTGAACTATCTACAGATTTGTTAGAAACAGAGGGAAAGAAACAGAGGAAGTGAGGAACCGAGGCCGGACCTGCTGCCTGCTGCTGCTGGACGGCGCTGTCGCTGGACCTGCTGCCTGTTTCTGCTGGACGGCGCTGAAGCGAGCACCGAGGCCGGTAGCCGCCGCCGCGCTGGGGAACAGGGGAAGCCGGAGGTGGACTGGCGGCCTCGCGCCTGGCGGAGCCGCGGAGGAGAGGGCCGGACGGAGGGGAGGGGAGCTGGGGTCTGGGGAGGGAGATGGCCGGAGTGGAGGGGAGGAACTGAGGAAGAGGCGAGAGGAGAAGGCCGGCCGCTGGACCAGAATCGCTCGCCGCTGCCGGAGCCTCAGCTAGCGCTAGGTTAGGGAAAGGGGATTCGAGAAAGAACGTGCTCGCTGCTCGGTCGGTCTGCTACTCGCGCGCGAGACCAGACGTCCGCTCACTCCTGTCTGGCGCCCCGCGTCGCTGGCTCGCTGCGTCGCTGTGTTTGGGCTGGGCCAAGTCAGTCTACGTATATTGATATATGTAGTAATTTTTTTTTGCACACAATTCTTTGGTATTCCAGGGAATACCCAGGAATACCCCCAGCTCCGCCACTGCGTGTGACCCTCCCGTGTCTACGCTGCCAGGCGGCCGCCCCTCTCACCCCTCCTCCGTCAAGCTCCCCTGTCGCCGCCACGGGGCACGGCCGGGCAAAGCCCTAGTGGCACCGGCGGCAGCGGGGCTTCTTCGTCCCTTGCACGGCGGGGAGGACGTGGTGGTGCGCTTTCCTGCCAAGGCATTGTTTCGCGTCAGGGGCCACGGCGGCGGCAGTCGGGCTCGGCACAACATGACATGCAGCGAGGTGTTGGTGCGCTCCTCGGTTGACGGCGGCTCTGCTGGCCGGATTCTTCAGAAGGCGAGGGTTATGGGCGGACAACGTAGCAGACAACCAATCCTGTAGTGGATATGTCTCAAGTGGATGGGGTCGGTCACAGTCATGCGTACGTGGGATCCTACTCTAGGACGCGGAGGAGGCGAGGACAAGTGCGGCGTCCCAGCTGCCAACCCTCGTCATGAACTAAGCATAAATATGCCTCTGTCCCCATGCCATGTGTTTGTGCAAGGTTACCACGTTTCTCCAACAAAACAAACGCTTAATCAGCTCGAACCCATCGTCCGGAGTCCCCTAGAACGAACAGGAACAAGGAGGACCAGACATGAGATCCAAACCAACGTCCACCACGAGCAATGGCGTCGGAGTGCTCCTTGGCCCATGGCGTCTCCCTCCCCGCGCACCGGCCGCCCCTCGCCTTCTTCACCTCCTGCAGGTAAGTATAACCAATCTGGCCTGCTTTTCCATTACGGCGTCCTTCTCCTTTAGTCTTGCCAACAGTGTGCTCTCTTTTGACAGCAGGCTGCGGCACGGCACCGTGTGCACGAGGGCGAACCATAGAGTCGTGGCGGCGGCGAGGCCGGCGGGCGCAGTCAGGAGGATGCTTGGCTCAGCCAGGGCACGGTACTGCGTGAGAGTGCAGAGCACGAGCGATCGACCCTGTCCATCCTTCGAGTGTCCACAGACAAAATCTTACACGCCTGTTCCTGCTTTCCCACATACGGCAGCGAAGATACCTTGCTGATGTTCGAACCAGATGACCACAGTATTGCGTCGGTTAAGCTTTTGCTACTCGTCTTTGAGATCCTTTCAGGACTCAAAATAAACTTCCTTAAAAGCGAGGTCATCACCATGGGGATGGACGACTAACAAAGCTTGCGAGTAGCGAACCTACTTAATTGTAAGCTAGGGAGCTTTCCAATTAAGTACCTCGGGCTTCCGATATCGCATCGAAAACTTTCTATACTTGAGTGGAGCCTCTCTATGGAAAAGTGGCTAATAGGGTCTGCCCGTGGCATGGGCGGTTTATGTCCTTCGCTGCTCGCCTCGTCCTGACTAACTCGAGCCTTTCCTCCCTTCCCTTATTTACTACGGAGACGTTCTTACTAGCTGACGACGTGCACGCTAGGCTCGACACCCCTAGATCCCGTTTCTTTTGGGAGGGAACCGACATCAAACGTAAATACCACCTAGTTAAATGGGCGGTTGTATGCAGGCCTAAGAAATTCGATGGGTTGGGGATCTTGAACTCGAAACTTATGAACGTCGCTCTCTTTTCCAAATGGTGGTGGCGGCTTGCCCAAAACGAGTTGGGTCTCTGGGCACAGCTTCTAAAAGCGAAATATTTCCCTAAGGGGAACCCCTTCACGGCCTCGCCGAATGGATCCGTGTTTTGGAATGGGATCCAAGCGGTCTGGCCCGCTTTTGCGATTGGGGCCAAGTTCCAGATCAACAATGGTCAATCCACTCGATTTTGGCTAGATTGTTGGCTGGGACCCGCTCCCCTTTGGCAAAGCCACCCCAACCTGTACCAGATCGCAACTAACACCAATATCATGGTTGGGACGCTTTGAGTGCCTCTCCCCCAGCGTTACATTTTTTGCGGGCACTCACCAATGCCGAACAAGAGTCATGGGATGAATTGGTTCAAAAAATTGGCGGTTATCGTTTAGGCGCGGGCGCTGATTCGGTTGAATGGAGCTTGACCGCCTCCAAAAACTTTTCGGTGAAATCTCTCTATAACAAACTTACCGAAAGGAATGTGCTAGACATAGCAAGGGGACAATGGAAGGCAGGCTTGCCCTTGAAGATTAAAATCTTCATGTGGCAAATGTTTAGGAATAGGCTGCCTACCTCGGACAATGTTGCCAAACGTAACGGCCCGGCCGATGGTTCTTGCGCAATGTGCGGTGTAGGTGAAGACGCTAACCACGTGTTCTTTAGATGCCACCTGGCCAAGTTCGCGTGGAGTGCGGTTAGGGACGCACTCCACTCGAATTGGAACCCCGCTTCGGGCGCTGACTTGCTCATGATAATCAAAACACAAAAAGGGACCAGCGGTAGAATCGCTTGGCGATGCGTAAGGGCGCTGCTGTGGGCTCTATGGACGACGCGGAATAAAATTACGATTTAGAAGAAATTTCCTAATCATCCCGCTGATGTGATCTTCAAATGCCACTTATTTTTACAGACATGGATACCGCTGGGGAAGGAGCATCAAGATGATCCATGATGCGCATCAAGATGATTCAGACTTTGGCAAGACAAGAACCGTCGCTCGGTTGATGCTTTTGGAGTTGACTAGTGCCGGCGTGGCCTAGCAACGCTGGTTGTCTCTTTGGATGTAATATTTGAGCCTGCGTGCTCCTGAACCTTATGTGTGGGTGGGCGGATGGACGTGCGGAACTGCTTTTCTCCTTTTGCTTGCGTTGTTTGAACCTTGCATGATCGGTGCCTCGTGGTTTTATTAATTTTAAGCCGGACGGTTCTAGCGTCTTCGTTCCAAAAAAAAAAAATCTTCGGCACGGACGACGAGATCATCATCATAAGCCTGCACTTATACTGAACGTTTTCCCTTCTTTCTTCTTTCAGTTGAGTGTTCTTATGTTCAGAAAACTTCATTTGTCAATTTCAGGGATGCCAGAGTGGCAAGAGGTCTCTCCTAGCAGCAGCCGAACTCTGCTCCGCTGTAAGCATAAATACTAGCACTACCATATCTATCTATCTATCTATCTCACCATCGGTAACTATGGTTTCACCTGCGGGCTGAACAACATCACGGCGTTGGGTCTTCTTCCGAAGGGTGCCAACCCAAATGAAGCAGGGAATGGACAGAATGATCAAGAAGACCAATGTACCACCAACCCAAGCCACAATGCTGGGTTGCCGGTGGTGGTGGTGGTGGTGTGTCGGAGGAGATGGCGTAGGGGTGGGCGGTGGTGGCGGCGACGCAGCCAAGGGTGCATAGGATATGTTGCCGGGCCAGTACGTCCTGAAGGACCAGCTGTGGATGACGTGAAGGGCGCTGCCTTTGTTGCAGTTGGGAGGCCGAGAAGCCGACATACATGGTGTCATTCACGAGTCCAAAGAGGTCTACGCTGATGGACAGCGCCGGGTTGACGTGCCTACGCGACGCGGAGTGGGACAGCCAGGTGCGTAGGTGACGGCGCGGCGCGTCGTACTGGACCAGGCGGTGATGGGCACGCCACCGGACTTGAGATCCAGTCCCGGGCTTGCGGACACGGCAGAGTAGATCGAGCCGGCGTCGAGCGCGACATGATTACCATCAGAGTCGCCCATCGCACCATTGCTACTCAGGTTTACATGTAGTAGCACAAGTAGAAGATCAGCTGGACGAGGCCGAAGAAAGGAATTAAGATCAATGCAAAGTAGCGTAAATCTAGCTGGGTTTGGGACTTTTTGAGATGTGTACGTATGTACTCACCATACCGTCACCGTAGAGGTCGGACTTGAGGAGCGGGTAGGCTGTCCAGCAGCAGCCGTTGAGGAAGTTCACCGGCGCCAGGAATACTCGACAATCTTGGTTCTGATCAGTTTACCCTGCAAACAAGCACCGTCATGTAGAGGTCTGACTTGAGGAATGAGTAGGCCGTCCAGCAGCAGCCGTTGAGGAAGTTCACCAGCGACAAGAATACTCCACAATCTTGGTCCTGGTCACTTTGCCCTGCAAACAAGCAGTGCAATATTAGGTCTTTTTCTCCAGGAAATTAAGCACATGAGGCCCTCTTGGCAGTTCTGGCACCCACAGATTCTTGCTTCGGTTCAAACCAGTCTATGTAAGACCAGCTAAAGCTTTGTAGGAGCGCAATAATAAACATCTCCTTCGCTGAGATTATGTAGTTCACATTTGGCTCAGTCCAGTAAGATGTAAGGAATTTCCCCACTTAACCGGGAACAATCAGCCCTGACCCTTTGCTGAGTGCAACTTACGTATCTTCATATATGAACTACTCATTTTATGTTAAACCATAATTATCAATTTTATGAGCAGTTCATCTTTTTCCAACAAAAAATATCATCCAGTCAAAACATCACCATGTCACAATTTTCATCCTCATCTAGGTTCAGCAAGGCTCTGCCAAAATTCACAGCGTTTTCTTTTCAACCTCATTGCATATTACGTGCAAACTCGAGTTGCCAAACGAAACTTAGCCTGAGTTCAAGTCTTATTACACTTTTCATGGGCTCCTCTGCGTATTTGCGAATCAAGAGCTCTAGTGAACTCATCCTAGAGGGGCATGGTGTCTGGTCTGGTGGCGCACTACCAAGACGTAACCTGAATTTTGTAGCAAAACACTTCTTTAGCTAGATCAGCTCGAAAAGAGGATTATTGAAATAATTGCTTCAGGCCAAGCAGATAGAACAATAAATTACTAGAAACAACTCTTGGTGTAAAGATAACTACGGAGTAGATTATATCCTCAGGTTGCAGTCATCCAGACTAAACTATATCATATCAACCATCGCCGAGCAAGTCAACATTTAGCCAATTCGAACAAATACAGTTAACCAAGGAAGGAATTCGGGGCATACCTCTTTGTCCATCCAGGCACTTCTGGGTTGACCCTGTCAGTTGAGTGCACAGACCTAGTGGCAGATGCCTCCGGTCACCGGCGCATGCCACCCTCTGCCTACTCCGGGCCACCATCACCAACTTGCTGCCCGCATCCAGAACTAGCATTTTGAATCCTCCGACATGCTAGGGTTGGCTTGCCCTGGCGGTAACAATGCCAGAGGGAGCGGATCTGGATGTTCAAGGTTGTCGGTGAGCTCCTCCCGGGGTGGGAACCTACAACACACGGCCATGGGTGACGACCGGTCTCGGCGTCAGCTTTCTTCTCCGGCATGCCCACTAAGCAACAAATCTCAGAAACTACAGATTTCTAGAGGATAGATGCACTAACCGGTCGACAGTATCCAGCAAGAACTCAAGCCCCGCATCTTCCATCCCGAAGTCGCCGGGGCAACACGCAGCCGCCGCAGGCCCGAACGTATTGGGGGGCTGGGAAAGGGGTGGACTCTGGTCACGGAGGGGTTTCTAGAACGTCCTGTACCACCTATCTGATCCGTGGCTCAGCACCAAACGACAACGTTCTGGTACGCATGTACTGACCGTCACCGTAGAGATGGAACTTGATGAGCGAGTAGGCCGTCCAGCAGCAGCCATTGAGGAAGTTCACCAGCGACAGGAATACTCCACAATCTTGGTCCTGATCACTTTGCCCTGCAACAAGCAGTGCAATATTAGGTCTTTTTTTCCAGGAAATTAAACTAGAAGAAAAGCATATGCGTAAATCTGGTCAATCCAATCTATATCAAGAAAGACTTCGGCATATGATCACTGAAGAAGTCAAGATGTTGCAAAAACCACGGTTTGATACAACGCACAAACAAGTCGTATTGATATCAACATCAACAGTTCGGCAAACAACTAGACAACAAACAGGGAACAAGAAAGCTACCAGGAAACAAGTAAGCCTCTTGCGGACAAGCATGACATTAAGCTCGTTTAGAAACACATATAAGACGAGTGACATAATGCCAATATGATCAACACAACTCCCTTGCAAAGCATAGCTGAAAAATCATAAAGGAATAGTTGA